TACCTCAAGTAGACACACGCCCTAGAGAGAACAATCATGGGAGAAGGAAGGGCTGCTTATGCACAGGGAGACAGCTCAGGGGGCAGAAGAGTATGGAGGGATGGACACTGGGAAGCCGTACTATGGGGAGGAAGTTGGAGGGGAGCTGTTGCATTGTGGTAAACTGTGGTCAATGACATGAGACAAAGTATATATGAACTGCTGTATGGAAAGTGAATTTGCTGTGTAAATCTTCACCCAAATCACAATCAATCAATCAATCAATCAATAAAAGCAGGTAAAGTAATACTTTGAAAATAGCAAAAAATTCAAGCTTTATTCAGAAGAGGACACAGAATGAGGCTATCACTGATGGCAGATGGATTTTGGCTGAGAGTAGAGAATACAAGAAAGATATTTACCTATGTTTTATTCACTATGCAGAGATATATGGCAATGTAGCATAACAACTTACAGACAGGCTTTTGAGAATGGGAATTCCAGAACACTTCATAGCACTCATGAGGAATCTTTACATAGAGCAAGAGGCAGTTATTTGAACAGAACAAGGGGATGATGGGTGGCTTAAAATCATGAAAGGTGAGATGGGAGTCAGGGTTGTATTTTGTCACCATACTTATACAATCTATATGCTAAGCAAATAATCCAAGAAGCTGGACTATATGAAGAAGAATGCAGCATCAAGATTGATGGAAGAAGGCTCATTAACAATCTGCAACACGTAGATGACACAACTTGCTTGCTGAAAAAGAGGACTTTAAGCACTTACTGATGAAGACCAAAGACTACAGCCTTCAGTATTTTCATAAAGAAAATAAAAATCTTCCTAATTTGACCAATAAGGAATATCTTGATAAATGGAGAAAAAGTTGAAGTTGTCAAGGATTTCATTTTACTCAGATCCACAATCAACACCCATAGACACAGCAAAAAAAAAAAAAAAAAAAGTTATATTGCATTGGGTAAATATGCCACAAAAGACTTCTTGAAAGTATTAAAAAGCAAAGACGTGACTTTAAGGGCTAAGGTGCACCTGACCCAAGCCATGGTGTTTTCAACTGCCTCACAGGCATGCAGAAGCTGAACAATGAAAAAGGAATAGTCAAGAAGAATTGATGCCTGTGAATTATGATGCTGATGATGAATACTGAATATACCATGGGCTGCCAGAAAATGAACAAATCTCCCTTGGCAGAATTACAGTTGGGATGTCCCTGAGAAGCAAGGATGATAAGACTCTGTCTTGTATACTTTGGACATAATATCAGGAAGAACCAGATAGTCCCTGGGGAAAGACATCATACTTGGTATAGTAGAGGATAAGTGAAAAAGAGGAATATCCTCAATGAGATGAATGGACACAGTAGCTGCAACAATGGGCTCAAACACACGACTCAGAAGATGGCTCTCCATCAGACAGTGTTTCATTCTATTGTACAGAGGGTCACTATGAGCAGGAACCAACTCAACAGCATCTAATAACAACAACAACAATCTTACCAAAGCAGATTGTTACATCGTTCTCCAGTGGAGCAGCTGGCGAATTTGAGAAATTTAAACTGTATAGAAGACATTAAAAAAACCAATCTCCTGTCTATATCTCAGTCCCTTAATCCAATCACTTTTTATTTCTTCAGTATGCTTATAGTGTTAAATATAAAACAAAAACCAAACTTACTGCTGTGGAGTTGGATCCGACTCATAGTGACCCCTCCTTGGGTTTCCAAGTCAGTATCACTACAAAAGCAGATTGCCCAACCTTCTTTCCGAGGAGTGGCTGGTGGATTTAAACTGCCAACCTTCTGGTTAGCAGCCAAATGCCCTAGGCACTATGCCAATATCTCAAAGAATGTCTTAATTATGTGTACAAGAAGGCAGAAGAATGATCACTGTGGTGTATGTAATTTGTAATAGCTTAAAACAAGACATAATCTAAATATTGAACAATAGGAAAATCAATAAATAGTATAAATGATGAAATGAATGAAATAAGGCTATATATATCAAGTAAATAAATATCAAAAAGTGTTAAATGACAAAGTTGAAGAAGGGAAGTAATGAAATATCAGAAATAAAATTAATTAAGTGAAAACAATACTATGTATTGTAAAACAATACATATTAATTAATATATAAACATACAAACACAAAAATCATAAACATCAAACTCAAGTGGGAAGGACAGGAAAATCTGTGTGTTATGTTTCATTTCTTTAAAAGTAAGATTGAAAGCTAATGTGGATGGGACAAAAATGCCTTACTGTTCTTTATTTTACTTTAAATATTAGAAGATAAAAAGCTTATATTAAACACTAAATGCATTAAAAATACTCTTTTATAAATAACTAAGGATTTCTTTTTAATTTCAGTTCATGAAAAGCTATTTCATTCTGGCATTACTTATCACCCTACTGACCTCTGCTGGTCCAACAGGGGAGAAGATATTACAGATGTCTTCCTGTCTTTCTTACTAGCTGAGGATGACTTGGGGCTTGATTTTCGCTTTGGAGATTTGCTAGACTTTCTTAGAGAAGGTGATGGAGACAATTTTGATCTAACCATTTCTGGTGAAACCTTTTGAAAAAAAATTCAGTAAGTCAATTCAGAAACTCTTCTAATCATGTTTGTTACAATAAGACAATACAGTATGTATTTTCAAATCACACTGAATTTTAGATAAAATATCAAGGACTATTATAGCCACCATTTATTGATGTTATTCTGACTACAGAATCCAAGCTTTTAACCAATATACAATTTAATTGCTCCAACATAAAACTAGTACCAGAAAAGCAAACTACAACTATGACATTTCACAATTTCCTCCGAAAAATCACAGGTCATCTTCAAATGAATTATGTATCTCCACTCTTAAAAAGAAACAAGATATTCTAGAAAAAGCATTAATCTGAAACATACACATATTCAATTCAAATCCTATTTTACATTAGATAGTAACTCTAGTCAGTAGACCTCAGTTTTGTTCACCTATTCAATAGCAAAATTATTTCCTATTTATCGAACAGGTTGATGTGAGACTAAATGATTAATGTGTATGACATAGTTGATGTATAGTATTTATAGTATGCTAATCAGTGTATCAATATCTTAATACAACTTAAAGATATAACAAACAGCTAATGAGCTTTCTTTTTGATATCCACAACGGTATCAATCACTAGCATGTATTTATTTTAATAAATAGCATACCTCCTTTTTAATGATAATTTCTTCTCTCTTCTCCATGTTTTCTTGTTCAAGTTTCATTAATTCCCTCTGTATCTTCTGACGCTTCATTTCCAATGACAATTCATGAACGTAATCATAATTAATATCGCCATTGTCAGAATCTTTAAAATAAAAATTCCATTACCTGTCAGAAACTATTGTAATTACTTATAATCAAAAACAAAGACAATTTATTAGTATTTTTTTTTACTGTGATTTGGGTGAAAGTTTACAGACCAAATTCACTTTCCATACAGCAGTTCACATACACTTTGTCTCATGACATTGACTACAATTCACCCCAATGCAACAGCTCCCCCAACTTCCTCTCAATAGTTAGCTCTTCCCCGTGTCCATTCCTCCATGCACCCCTGCCCCCTGAGCTGTCTCCCTGTGCATAAACAGTCCTTCCTTTTCCCATGATTATTCCACTAATTTTTAAAACAAATTTAAATGAGGGGTTCTTTCACCAGAATAAGAGACTTCTAAAAGATGGAAGGAATATAAGAATTGAAATAACCATGGCTGATTTCTTTTTAAAATTCAAACAGTTCTAAAGTTTCTGGAACTGATCTTTTCTGGAACTTATTTTGGGTTGTCTGGAAATTGGGAGTTTTGGTTAGGAGATGAAAATTAAAAATAAAATTAAGTCACTCAGTTGTATAGTCTAAGCATTAAAGATACCAAAGCCTCCAACCATTTATGCTGCAGTGATGATTAAGTTTCCTTGATTTTCTTTAAGATTCATTAGTATTAAAGCAACATTATTTTGCTTTTTTTTATTCATGAGCAAACTAATTTGTATATAAAATTAAGTTAAGGTTGGGCAATCCTACTTCCGTAGTGATACTGCCTCGGAAACCCAAGGAGGGGTCGCTATGAGTCGGGTTTGACTCGACGGCACATAACAACAACAACAACAATTTTAATACTGACATGTACCAAGTTTATTTTTGAAGGATTTATTAACTGCTTTATCACAAGTGATTTTTATTAGTTCCTTAGATTGTTGTTGTCAGGTACCATCAAGTCATCTCCGACTTATAGCAACCTTATGTATACCAAAATACTGCCCAGTCCTGTGCCAGCCTCACAATCCCTGCTATACCTGAGCCCATCACTGCAGCCACTGTGTCAATCCATCTCGTTGAGGGCCTTCTTTTTCATTGACCCTCCACTTTACCAAGCATGACATCCTTCCTCAGAGAATGGTCCCTTCTGACAGCATGACCAAAGTCATGAAATGAAGTCTGGCCATTCACGCTTCCAAAGAGCATTCTGGCTGCACTTCTTCCAGGTCAGATTTGTTAGTTCCTTTAGCAGTCCACAATACTTTCCATATTCTTTGCCAGCATCACAACTCAAAAGCATCGACTCTTCTTCAGTCCTCCTTATTCATTGTCCAGCTCTCATATGCATATGAGGTGAATGAAAATAATATGGCTTGCCCAGTGTAGTGCCTAAGGCACTTGACTGCTAACCAGAAGGCTGGCAGTTCAAACCCACCAGCCACTCCTAGGAAGGAAAACTGGGCAATCTACTTCCATAGTGACACCACCTTGGAAACCCAAGGAGGGGTCACAGTGAGTCAGGTCCGACTTGATGGCACATAACAACAACAGTCTTCAAAGAGACATCTTTGCTCTTCAACACTTAAAAGAGGTCTTTTACAGCAGATTTGCCCAGTGTAATATGTCACCTGATGTCTTGACTGCTGCTTCCATTTGTGTTGATTGTAGAACCAACTAATATAAAGTCCTTGACAACTTCAATCTTTTCTCCATTTATTGTGATGCTACTTATTGGTCCAGTGGTGAGGATTTTTTTGTTTTCTTTATATTGAGGTATAATCCATAATGCAGACTGTAGTCTTTAATCTTCATCAGTAAATGCTTCAAGTCATCCTCACTTTCAGCAAGCAAAGTTGTGTCATCTGCGTATCCCAGGTTGTTAATGAGTCTTCCTCCAAACTTCATGCCACATTCTTCTTCACACAGTCCAGCTTCTCAGTTTATGTGCTCAGCATACAGATTGAGTAAGTATGGTGAAAGGACACACTCCCTTCCCTTCCTGATTTAAGCCACACAGTATCCCCTTCTTCTATTCGAAAGACAGACAGCCTCCTGGTCTTAACATAAGAACTGTCCAACTGATTCAATGACTCAGATTCCACATCATTAATTCCACTCATCTTTTCCAATAAAAAGAATATGAAAGTCAGTATGCAAAAAAAAA